TTTTTTTAAAATATATATATTTAATTAAAAAATGATTTAAAAAATGGCTCGCGCTATTTAAGTTTTTTCTTAGTGGTGTTTTGAAAACAGCTTTTGCGGTAACCACTGCTGCTCTTACAGGACTCATTTGAAAGTAAAATGCAACGAGTTATATAAAGTTAAAACATAGATCTACTTTCTTACGTAGCCGTTTTTCAAAATATTGCATTTGAACAATATAGCAGTTGGTCAAAGTCAACATAGCGATTTAAATCTTGCTCGTTTGTTGGCTGCGGAAAAAACAAAGCATCGTAAAAAAAGAATCCTACGTAGGGAAGTAGTTTTTAATATTTAGAAAAAGCGTATAAAATTGCAAATTAATCGGTCAAACCATTTTCGAGATATAGTGGTCACGCATTTTGAAAACCACGTTTCGCGAAAAATGAGTTTAAAGTTTTACATTCAGATTAACTACAAAAATATTAAAAATTTTATTTACATTGAATCATCTATTCCAGAGCCATAAAGCAAACCCTCTGCTGAAGTGGATGCTTCCAAAAAATCACTTTACGATGCGGTCACAGACATGACGCAACAGATCGCGTTTGACGCGCTCAGTGCGCTCGAACTTGCTCGACTATAATTTTGTGTAACTGTTTCATTTTTCGTCGAATTCGGATCGAATTCAAACTTTACAAAAACATTCTTAAGACACTAAGTAAGTAAGGCAAATGGGAATCGGCGTGGTTATTGGTACGCAATATTTAATTCACATAAAATTTACTTTATTCTAAAAGTCAAACGTTTCTTAAGATATCGTACTTTTAAAATATGTATTTAAAAAAATCGATTTGTAGGTGTATTATATGCTTCCTTAAGAATTACTTTATACATTACTTAAATATATATTTAAGTATCATTCACTTTTGCGTGCAGCTTTCCTTGATTAGGCCCCCAGGATGTAGCGTGCCGATTGTATCGATTAACAAGCGAGAAATAAAATACGCACGCTACGAGAACGCGTTACGCATACGCAATCGGCCAAGCGTGCGTGCAAAATGAGGAAAATGAGAATATATCGCGTTTACGCGTTTGCTAAAGTCACTGACCTGAAAATCTGTGTATAAATTCTTTATTCAAAATTCTCGTAACTTCCTGGAAAATCAGAAATGCAATATGGTACAAATGCCGCGCGACAGCATACCTGTATACGTAAGAAAGCCAAGAAAAATTTGAGATTTTCAAACAATTTTTCATTTTTCTCGAAGAAACGCGATGTCCTTTTACAACGAAGGAAAGAAACAAGAAACTGGCTGGATGATCAGTTTTGATTACGCTCGCGCGTGAAGATATACAAGTTACGAACACGAAGCTGAGACGTTAAGGAAATATTTAAAAAATTTCCAAACTTTAGCCTCTCTCACTTATAATCATCACGTACTTATAATACCTTCTCGTACGTGATGATGAAATTCATTTAAGTTATCTTAACATAAGAACGATAATGCAATGATAACTTCTAAATACTTAAAATACAAAATGGATAATTCGTAAAGATAATTCGAGAGAAAAGAAAGAGAAGAAAATAAATAAAACTTGTTATATTATTCAGTTGTTCGCAAAAGTGTTGCCAAAATCTATCTTCTACGTACATTTGTATTTTTTAATTAGTAACATTTACATTTCATTAAATTGTATAAGGTACTTTTGGAACTGATTTTCCGTTCGATCTCGTTAAGGGTTTACGGATTATATACATATATACATATAATGTCAGATGCAAATATCTAACGCAAATCAGTCAGAAATAGGTGATTTCATTTACGTGGGACATCGGAATCTTTACCCGCGTGAAGTGTCGCACGATGGTGACGTGCACTTTGGTAGATTTATACTGGATAGATAGAATGGAATTGCGCAATACGCCAGTCCATTTCACTGTAAATGTGGCGACTGCTCAGATCGAAGTTCGAATTGTCCGGCCGTGACGCGCGTATTTTCGTGAGCGCGATGATGAATCTAGGTGCGGCTAAAGTGCAAACGAACATATCGAACTACGTCGAGGCAGAGAAAGAGAAAGAGAAAGAGAGAAAGAGAGAGAGAGAGAGAGAGAGAGAGAGTGTGTGTGTGTGTATTAACTGGGCACAAAATCCCTGTTTAAAAGATAAGAACCTATACAATTTTATCGTGTTTTTGATTTGTAAATATGAGATTTGTTATACAGATTTGTTGAGAAAAATTTAAGTTTCTATCAATTGTTATCAAGAATTGTAGTATTTCAAATACAAAATAGATTGTATCTGAAATACAAAATACATTGAATAACTTTTTTGAAATACAAAATATAAAATACTTTTGTGCTCCGCTGAAATACAAAATACAAATTGTATTTCAAATACTGTATTTCAAATACAAATATTTAAAATATGCCCATGCCCTGTTTCTATCTATTATTATCTATCGGATCTCTTTTTAAGCAGGGATACTCGTATTCTCCTTGACAAGTGTAAACGTATTATCTCGCGCTACGCGCTATCAAGTGGTATGTTTATAATTATCTTAAGTAAATTACAAAATTGCCGTATTACGGGGTCAAAACGATTAAACGTCAGTTTGATTAATTTTTCATCGAGAATCAGTGACAAATCCGTCAATCTGTCATCAGCCGAAGCAGTGAAATAATTCACAAGATTTCACCTCTTATCGTTCGTTTAGCGTGAGAGATACGGATAATGAATTACGTGGGCGATTATATTATCCGAAGTAATGCGTACTTCATGCTGAGAAATAGAGAGTGAAGTTGCGCTTAATGACATTTCTCGCGTCGCTACGCGTCGCGTTTGCGAAACTTTTGAAAACGTTTGCAATTTGTAGAGAGAGAAAAATGGCTCGCTGCTCGATTACGCAGAAGAAAAAACAGGTCATAGCCGATCAATTAATCAGTTTCGTCTTTTAGGGTGACGCAATTGAATGAACAAAACAGGAATTGCTCGCAAGTAATTTTAGTGCTCTGCTGGCGCGGCACGTATTGCGGATTACATGTATATTTATTATTACTGTTCATTACTCCTTTTGCACGCACAACTGCGAGACTTGTCGACCGGTATTTTCAATTAGTCATACTTTGAAATATATATTGAATTTTATAAGAATTATTTAAATAATACGTTTATCCGCACAGTCCATATACAGATGAATGCAAAATCATTGTTTGTTATTTTTTTAAATCGACTTTATACACCGCGCACAGCTGTTCCGAAAGTAGCTACAGACATTTCAAATTTTCTTTCGATATATACAATGATTACTAGAGCGAAATAAATACATAACATATATATAAAAGCCAGAAATTATCCATATATTTTTTAAATTTTTCTTTCTCTTAAATAAATTTACGTCTCTATAGAATATTTTAAAATATTAAATATAATACACGTAAATGTAATATCGTGCTTCTTTTATAAACTGTAATTTTTTTTTTAATAAATATTTTAGTGTAACATTATTTCTGAAACAACGATTGCGTAGAAAATTGATACCTTTTCATTAAAGAAGAGCAAATTTTATACATGTATCTTTTTTCACGAAATATATTGATTTTATATTAAAGTTCGAAATAAATCGTGGCTTACTCGTACATGCGCATTGCAATAAAGGTTTGGTTTTTTATTCGGAGAAATCAATTTTTATATAAATACGTACGCGTTATATGGATGTTTTACTTTTTATAATTGAAAAAGAGCTTGAGAGATGCGGAGAAGAGATGCCAGATCATAGGATATAAACCATTAGTTTTGGATTACCTTTATTTCGTTACTTTTATTACGTTAAACGTGAATAAGTAATGCAATTATGTTTTATTCGTTTTAATATTAATTAGTGCAAAGAAAATGTACAATTATACAGGGTGTCCGATACTTAATGGTAAAGCATTCTTGGGCAGATAAAGTGGGCAAAACTGAATCGAAAAGTCCTCTACTATTTTGCGATCTTCGCAATAGTTATTGAGATACGAATCATTCTAAAAAAAGAAAAAATTTTACATAATGGCCAAGTTTTTGCTTCACTATAATCCCATTGATCAATTTAGTCACTTTAAGCCTGTTTCATAAAAATTAAAATTATTGGAAATATTAAACTAAACATTAATATTAAACTAAATTAATTAATTTAATATTAAATTAATTAATTTAATTAATTAATTTTTAATTAATTTACTGAGTCGACAAGGCACACAGGGGATA